CTGAATAGTCAGATGACAAAAACGACACCCGAGCCAGCATCCTCTATTACACCACACAATGGGAGGACAGGACGCCACCCCATGCTCTTGTTCCTCTAACCATTACAGTTGCTGTACCAGTCGGATTGATATGGGGCAAAAAAATGCCAGCAGGTTCCCAAGTGGTCACCCTCTCAACTACTGACCGCGAATGATGCTGCTTCACTGCGGTAATCAGACGAGAGCTGGTGCTTTCAGCATAGTACGGCTGTTGGCACATTGGGAAGACATTTGACCCTCGGCGGATTTAAAGGGCAACAGACTAATATACTCGGCGGATTTAAAGGGCAACAGACTAATATACTCGGCGGATCTTCTCTGAATCGGGTCTCGAAGCCCTACTTTTACGAGGTTACAGGGGCCCTATTAAAAAGAGAGAATAAAGATGATATTCAGCACATAAAATTTTGTTGGGAGCAGAAATCGGTTAACGTACAAATTCAGGTACGCTTTTTTTCACAGCATTTTCATCGCAGGTAAATACATACCACTAATAATATTTTTGAACATTTTATCTTTTTACAATTTTTTTTTATAAATATGGGAAATTTATCAATAAAAACTCTAGGTACGAATTGGATAAATGAATGAAAACTTTCTCTCGGTATATTTGCATAATCAGAATTTGCACAAAACGGAAGCTTTCAGCGTTAAAAAAAACTAATATTAAAACAAATAAAAAAAACCGCATTTTTATTGGTATACTAAAAAGTACAACAAAATCCTGACGTCAAAACAGAGCCATCAAAGCATGAGGAACTGAAAAAAATGTTGCAAGTAAACTGGAATTTTAATTGCATTTGTTATATATTTTTAATTTTTAATGATTGTAATGAAATTTTCTTTCATTGTGATTTAATTTCCGTATAGTGTTATTTTCAGCGCTTTTTATGATTTAATTTTGACCTCCAGATTTGATAAAAATGATTTTGTACTTTTTAGAAGACAAATAAAAGCGTATTTTGAGAATTTCTTTCATTTTTCCTGTCTTCTACTTTTATATATTTCACTTCAATATATTTCATTATTATTCTTACTATAACTATTATGGAATCTTGTAATAAATGTTTTCACTAATTTAGTACCAGATGATGCCTCTTATATGAAATCAAATTTTAAACAAAATTAATCGAATCACTGACTATTGAGTTCGGAAGATATTAAAATATCGTAATAGCATTTGGAACATAAAACTGCATAAAATTTCAAAACTCTCGCTCAGGAAGCGAGCGAAAACTGTATCACAAAATTTCATGTTTATATACGTAAAATAATAGAGGCTATCAGGTTTCCTTAACACTACAGACAGTATTTAAATTTTCTAAGATTCTGTTTCCCTGAAGGACCAAAATCATGGCATTTCTTATTAAAAATTAGTATGGAAATTGGTCTATCCTTATCATATTCAAAAACCTGCCTCTCGCAAGCGCCATATCTAACCTTTATAATATAATCCATTGCCCTACCAAGCATGAACTGCATTGCTCTAACAGCTGTCCTCCGAATTGTATAATAGCCATTAGTCCCTAATCATTATTGCCCTATCAAATAGCCAGTGATTTCTCCTTAGATCCTAATTGTATGTCTGGGATAACAGGAAACTCACCCACTTTGGCGGATAAGGTACGTCATATATGTGTT